TTGTGGGGCCCCCCGTCCTGTAGTACCCAGGAAGGCGGAGGGCGAGACGGTGCCGTTGCTACGCGACACCATGACGCTGATGCCGGTCTCCACGAAGGGCACGGAGAAATCCACGATCTCGGAGCGCTCCTCGTTGATGGTCAACGAGCCGATGGCCATGTCGGCGCGGCGGTAGAACACCTGGAGACGGGTGACGTCAACACCCGCACGCGGGGCTCGTTTTCCCCCTCATCGGGTGGCCCCGGACGCCTGGGCCCCCCTGGATAAATCCCGGATGCCGGAGTCTCCTAGGGCAGATCCTTGAGTCCATTGAATTCCCTTGGGTGTCACCCGGACGCCTGGGCCCTCCGGACAGATCCCTCATGGTCCCAGACACCAGGATGGATCCTGGACATTAGGGATCCCCCGGCAGAGATCCCGGACACCGGAATCGCTCGGGGCGTCACTCGGAGCTCCCGGACATCGGGATTCTCCAGGATGGATCCAGGACATCAGGGAAGATCCCGGACACCAGGATCCCCCCCTGGAGCATCTCCCCCCGAACACCTGGATCCCCTGGGATGATCCCAAACACTTGGATCCCCTGGGATGATCCCGAACACCTGGTTACCCTGCGATGATCCCGGACACCTGGATCCCCTGGGATGATCCCAAACACTTGGATCCCCTGGGATGATCCCGAACACCTGGATCCCCTGGGATGATCCCAAACACTTGGATCCCCTGGGATGATCCCGAACACCTGGATCCCCTGGGATGATCCCAAACACTTGGATCCCCTGGGATGATCCCGAACACCTGGATCCCATAGAACAATTCCCTGGAGCATCTCCTGGACACCTGGATCCCCTGGGATGATCCTGAACACCTGGTTACCCTGGGATGATCCCGGACACCTGGATCCCCTGGGATTATCCCAGACACCTGGATCCCCTGGGATGATCCCAGACATCTGGGTCCCCTGGGATGATCCTGGACACCTGGATACCCTGGGATGATCCCAGACACCTGGATCCCCTGGGATGATCCCAAACACCTGGACCCCATAGAACAGCTCCCTGGAGCATCTCCCGGACACCTGGATCCCCCGGGATGATCCCGAACACCTGGATCCCCTGGGATGATCCCGGACACCCGGACCCCATAGAACAGCTCCCTGGAGCATCTCCCAGATTCCCAAGACATTCCCGGACACCGGGGCCCTCCAGAACATCTCCTAGCCCCTATAATAATCCCATGGGAGCGCTCCCGGACACCTGGATCCCCCGGGATGATCCCGGACACCCGGACCCCATAGAACAGCTCCCTGGAGCATCTCCCAGATTCCCAAGACATTCCCGGACGCCGGGGCCCTCCGGAACAGCTCCCAGCCCCTATAATAATCCCACGGGAGCACACCCAGACACCTGGATCCCCTGGGATGATCCCAGAGACCTGGATCCCCTGGGATGACCCTGAACACCCGGATCCCATAGAACAGCTCCCAGGAGCATCTCCTGGACAGCTGGATCCCCCGGGATGATCCTGAACACCTGGATCCCCTGGGATGATCCCGGACACCCGGACCCCATAGAACAGCTCCCTGGAGCATCTCCCAGATTCCCAAGACATTCCCGGACGCCGGGGCCCTCTGGAACAGCTCCATAATCCCACGGGAGCGCTCCCGGACGCCGGGGCCCTCCGGAACAGCTCCCAGCCCCTATAATAATCCCA